CAGTCAGAACCTCAAAACAAATTAAAGTTTCCTACTTTAACAAGTCAATCACTCAGCTCCGATAAAATTCTTTCAAAAAAAGAAAAAGAAAATATGGTAAACTTGGAAAAAATTTTATTTAAAGCTCAAATCAATTATCGCTCAATCCTATTTACCTTTCACACTATTCCAAGATGCAGCTAGAGAGCAAAACAAAATGATTCGTCAGCGAGACAGCAGGTCGACAAAAAGATCAAAAGATTAAAGAACAGATAAGACATAAGGTGTATTGCTTTCAAGTTAAAGAGTAATAAATTTAGTCACAAATTTGTCGACCATTAAAAATAAAGCAAAAGCGTCTACCCGAGTAATATCAACTCTCTTGAAAACTTTTTTGTTTTTAGACTTTCAGACATTTCCAACTAAGCTACTTAGTACTGCCAATTACAGTCATTTCAAGATCTAAAGTTTTCTTTGCATAGCCATCAAAGAACTCGACTTTGTTGCATTAATACTGCGCAGGAAGAAGAAGGAGAAAGATTGTTTAATAAACATGTGCATACGTAAGTGCGTGATGAGATATGGCAAACTTGTCCATTCATTACTTTTTCAATATAATCCAAAGAAGTGATTTGGTAACTTAAAAGAACGAAAGACCAGTTTGCAGCTCAATACTACACACTTATTTCCACTTGTCTGTCACTGCTCGTCTTCAAATAAACATTTCCCAATTCTCGAGTTTTATGTTTTAATATGAAACCGAAAACACACTATTAACTAAAAAATTTCTTTAAAAAAAAAAAAATGATTCCGTTTCTTCTTTTGGTTTTACGCCCTGTTCTCCACCTGTGTTTGCCAATTCAATACTGAACAAAGAAAAAAAAAAGGAAAGAAAAACCAGAGAAAGAAGGCAACAGCAAGAAAAAGCAGACCAGTCAAGAACTTCATTTTAGTAACCATCTCAAAGCAATGTTCAAACGCAGTTTCCTTCTCATTTTTTTCAGCTAAAACAACAAACGCGAATTGGCGAGCAAATAATTCTCTTTAAAATAACTAAAGCCCCTTAATTAATTAAAATGATAAAAGAGAAAAAAAAAAAGAAAAAAATAGTTAAAAAAAACTTATGTGACCTATAAAATCACACCAGGAAAAGCAGAACCACAATAAAATCAAAAGCAAAAAACAAGCATTTGGCAAAAATCTCTAGCAGCTATAGGTGACCTCTTCTCATTAGTGTTGCTACTCATCGCTCATTGAACTACATCCAAAATATACACTCTAAATTAATGAAGAAAATTTTCATACATAGTCTTTTCTACCAAATGTTTTTGGCATATACACAAAGACTTCATTAATTTTTCAAATAATACCATAAAAATTAATAACCGTATTTTCATAAAATTTACAAACAAGCGATA